GAGCACAGGCCTCCGCAGGCGCCTCGGCAAGTGGAGCTCGGGCGCCCAGCAGCGGCAACCCACAGCAGTCTCCTCCCGGAAGCTGCTGGACTCTGGGACGCATGCGCACAAGGGCCTGGGGCCAGGTGTCCAAGAGGCAGAGGTAGCCGGGGTACACATGTGGCCCTGGTGGGATTGAGTCCCCGAAGCTCGTCCAGGACGCGGCCCGGCCCCTGGCTCTAACCTTTGGCACGGCGGTGGTCGTGCCTGCCGGCGGCCCTGCCCCTCATCCCACCGGAGCCAGCCAGCCAGCCAGCCAGGGAGCCTGCCGGCGCGCCTCCTGCGGGGTGGCCTCGGGCTCCCAGCCGCACCGAACGCCCCCTCCCGCCCCACGCCGCCCCCCGCAACACAATCGCCACCCCACACCCCTGCCCGCGCGCCTCCCGCGGCCCCGTCAGGTTCGCGCTCTGCCCGGATTTTGTACCGACAAGGCGAAGCTGTCCCTCGCCCTTCCCGAATTGACTCCTGTAAGACTCAGGACACTGGGTGCACCACGGGAAGCCTAGTCCAGTGTGCGTGGAAATCGTCCGCCCGGGCCCGGGAGTATTCATAGTGCGATTCCGGGACACAGAGGCCCCGAACCCGTCTGCCTCCTCGGGGGAAATGTGCGGCTACAGTTTGTCCCAGTGCATGCCCTCTGCTGGTCAGGAGAGAAGGACGAAGAGCGCTCTGTCCACCGGTCCGCCTGTCCCTTCCTCACGCTCTCCTCTCCGTCCTCCTCTCTGACTGTGTCTCCCGGCGCTCTTTCTCTGACCCCTGTGGCCACACGGCCTCTGGAACCTAAAGCCTTCCGGACAGGAGATGCAGATGCATCGCGGAGCAGCTCCTTTCCCAGGACATCAAAGCCCTCTCCCCCTCTGGGACCGGCAGCCAGGCCGGTGACCCACGAAAAGGTGCCAAGCTGGCTGCGCACACAAACACAGCTCACACACTCACACAGACACGCAGTGTGGTTCTAATGGAGGACAGAGGGATGCATGCATTTCCCGGAGCCAAGGGCATACAGGAAAGGAGACCCAGATGCCCCTGCCTGAAGAGGAAGTCTGAGCCAACCCTGTGGAGAGGGCGGCAGGTGGATGCTGTCCACCTGCTCAGTGAACTCGGGGCCCACTCATTGGAAGGCCAGGCGGCTAGGAGCTGAGGACGGCACCCAGGCGGCAGGCAGCACGAACGCCCGCCCCACCAGAGACGGAGCGTCTTACGTTGCATGCTGCCAAAAGCACGAATGCCCCGGGAAGGGGTTCCCAGCTTGTCTGGCCTACAGAGGGGAACGCATCCTTCCTAGCCTTACCTGCTCTGGGCCAGCTGGGTCAGACTGTAGCAGATCATCAAGCTGGGCTATCACATCTCCAGAGCTGGCCCACAAATGAGGGGAGAGATGCCCAAGTGTGGTTTCAAGCCTGAAAAAGGGCGTGGGGCTGTTGGTCGGTGCCAATACCAGCCTGTCTCTACAGGCATCACCGACAAAAGGGGCTTTTTACACGCCCCCCTTCCCCCGTCTCAGTCCGGAGAAGCGTGAACATATATACAGGTATAGTCCCCAACCGGGTCCCACGTATTTCCACCAGAGTGGATTTAATATGCGTCCCCCATGGTCTTTGCACCATGGTTTTCATCTGTTCACCCATCATGTGGATGCTGTCCACGTCCACTCCCACTCCCGGGTGACATTCGTGCAATGACAGACATCTCGCATAGCCCTTGCCGGGTAGGGAAGTTGAGAGGGGCCACACGACGAGACGTGTGCGGCCTGGGAAGAGAGTGAAACCCCTAGCTAATTCCCACACCTGGATCCATGTGTGCAATCAGCACAAATGGGTGGTGTTCCTCACACCCACCTGCCACATCCCACCCCTCCCTCCTTGCCTTGGCCTGTGCGTCTGTGCGTCGACACGGGAGACAGACCCCTGAAGAACCACGGAATGCACTCGGGGCCTGTGTGTCCGGAGGGACGTGGCTGCCCTCGGCCTCTTGCCCCTTTCTCCATCACCGGTGGAGCTAGCAATCCCACAGTCCCTCTCCTTTGCTGA